TTAAAAGACAAATTAAAGTATTTGTTTCGATTATCCGGATTTTTCCTTATCCGGACTACCTTCATCCCCAATTAGTCCGGATAATCGAGGTTCTACTGTATATATTTTTTTTTATTTGCTGCAATATATATATATATATGAATTTTAAACTAGTTACTAACCTGATGTTTAATTGAATCCAAAACAAACCAGCGTTGCTTCCATCCTTTTAGAAGTGCACCTCTTTTATATAAATAACCTTCATGTGTTCTGTTTTCTGCTACATTTGATGAAAACTGGTCATAGTACTGACTGCTTGTTTGCATAGTTGTAACGCCTGAAATTCGTATTATAAAATTGTATTATCAATAAAAACTGAAATACTTATTAATAAATANCCTTTCAAACAGCCGTAGTCCGTAAACTATGATTCCTACAAAATTGATTCATAAAGAACGGAACGTATCTACCGTCTTATAGGGGGATCTACTGTATATATAAAAATGAATGTATGTCTGTGTGTCTGTCCTTCATGCATTACCACACCGTTTATCCGATTGCCATGAAGCTTTGGGAAGTTGTTTAACATACTCCCGCGAAGGTTTCTGGCATAGTACATTTATCCTACGATAGATAGTGCATGTGTATACGATCATTTCACAGTGTTTTCGATCGATTTCAAATTGTGAAGACCATTTCCCCCTCCAAAAATCATCTCTATATATGCATTTGTAAACTGTTATTTACGATATTTGTAATAATTTTTGTTTAATCACTTTATTTCAACTTTTTTGCTAATTATGTATTCACTCAAACTTTGTTAAAACCTTAACTGTACCCCGAACAACAACCAAAGTTGTAGGAGGAAATTCGCCTATTTTACCGATCTAGGGATCCCCCTTTTCAAATTTTAGTATCAACTCAAAATAATTTAAAAAGACAAATTACAATAAAATAGTTTATTATCCAAATATCAGAAATTTCACAACATGCCAAGGAAGAGAGGAAGGAGCAATTAAATAATTAAAATTGTGAAGGATTAAAAAATATATATAAAAATGGGGAATATCACACTTCTGACAACTGCTGCAATATATATATATATATGAATTTTAAACTAGTTACTAACCTGATGTTTAATTGAATCCAAAACAAACCAGCGTTGCTTCCATCCTTTTAGAAGTGCACCTCTTTTATATAAATAACCTTCATGTGTTCTGTTTTCTGCTACATTTGATGAAAACTGGTCATAGTACTGACTGCTTGTTTGCATAGTTGTAACGCCTGAAATTCGTATTATAAAATTGTATTATCAATAAAAACTGAAATACTTATTAATAAATAAAGAATATTATGTAAAGGAACAAACATATATTTAAAGTAAGTTTTTTGGTACATAAAAGCATATATAAAAGGTATTTATGGAAAATATAATAAGTTTTTTAATTAATCAAAAATTAATTAGATTGGCTCCATCCTTAAATAACAGGTTATCAAATATGATGATTATAAGAAGTACCAAAAAAGATTTATTAGAGGAAGGTGGTGTTGTTTATTGGATAGAATGCATGTGTAACAACCCTAGTTTTTACATTGGTGAAACAAAACAAAGATTAAAGATTCGACTGTCAGAACATCTGGCTGCTGTAAGGTTAAAAAATTAGTAATTCTCCTGTCTTCCAACATTGTAATAGTAATAATTGTCAGATTAATACTAATAAATTAAAAATTATTTTTAAAGAAAAAAACAATGTAAAGCAAAAGGTAAAAGAACACTTCACTATAATTATGCAAAACAATAATGTAAATTTAAATACGGGAATGTTAACAGCGGAATGCTGGGAATTTTTTGTTAACCATATAAGTGGCTTTTTAATGAGTTGACTGTCAGAATGTAAACTGTGTACTGTAAGCCCCACTGAAGAGGCCTTGGCGAAATGCATTTGGGAAGCTTGTTCGTAATGTAAATAAAAGTTTTTTCTCTGCAAACTATTTTCTTTCTTTTTATACCTTTTTAACTTTTTTTGAAAATTTTATAGTCATTATTGGCTTAATGTTTTAAAATTTGAAGTTATATATTATCCAAAAAGTCAGAAGAGAAAGAAAAATATAATTTTTTCGTATTTTACATTTATGTAAGAAGAAAAAAGGAAAAATTTCTGACTCCATCGGTTTTTATAATTATTTTGAAAGCCTATTAGGTTTAACAGCTAAATAAATAAATATACATACAAAAAAGACAAAGTCAACAAATTAAAGACAAACAATACAATTACAGTATATGCTCTTTAGATTAAAAACATCTGTTTCAATAAATTGTAATAAATTAATGAAGAGTACTTAACTATATATATATATATATATAAGATATATCAATTTTACTTATTTTTAATAACTAAAAATTGATTCAATAGATATTTACATTTCCCTCCAAAAAAATAAGCATGAAAGTGAAAATCCAACACAAATGAGAAACTACTGGAGCAATTTATTTCAAATTTTACAGTAACATAGAATAAGATGCTACGTATTATTAACATATGAAAAGAAATCCAACAACGAGTTGTATAACTTTTCCAGCTGTTATAAGATTTTTGTTATAAACAAGTTTTATATTTTTAATTACTATAAAATGGCAAAAATCTTAATCTTGATGATAGGGATGAATTTTATAAAAAAACTAAGTTTTAATAATGAGTAAAATCTTCATTAAGACGGACAGACAAATGATAGTGTGAATTTATAGGTCTAGAATTTTTTCAAATAGTCCTTAAATTAATTTACATGTATATTTGAAAATCCAAATGGGTCCAGACACAATTAGTCCAGATTTTTGATGCTTCACTGTATATTATGTTATATAGAAAATAGTCGTAAATGTAACTGTTTATGAACAGAAACAATATTTTTAATAATAATACAGTAGACCCCCCCCTATAACATGGTAGATATGTTCTGTTTTATATGAATTCTGTGTTTTACGAGTCACTTAAATACACGAGCCAATCTCATCCCGGCATGTGTGCAGTTTAGGAACTATGGCTGTTTGAAACGTTTTCTTCCATAAAATTAATCGATTCTAGACTAATTTGACTCAATATTTCCAAAATATGTATAATTTTTTAGGAATAATCCATATAAATTATACTATAAACATAAAATTGTAGGATTACTTACCGAGTGTGCACCGTTCGATGACGTCATTGCTTAAGCTTGTTTTTGTCACGGAGCTTTTGCTTAAGCTTGTTTTTGTCAGACGACGCCATTGATAAGTTATTTTCTGTGAAAAATTCACTGAACTTTGGAGACATCATTAATATAAATATAATTTTTATGGCCATTAAATAATAAATGGTTTTTAGTAGGTCCGCTGCTCGTTTAAACTCAATGTTTGTGCAATATCTGATATTGGTCTAGATTCGACCAATCCTGTCGTGACAGGAGTTGGCAATGACATTTTACGAGTCTCTTTTAGCTGGTTTATACAAATAGGATTGCAATTTTTTCAGTGTTATACGAATCTGTATTATATGAACTATGGATTCATACAGGGGGGTCTACTGTAAATATATACAATTAGCAGAATTTCAACATTTTGCCATTCTGTTTCATAATACATTATGAATGCATTTAGTTATTTCAATTAAGCAAAAAAAATTGATTTTGCAATGAAATAACATAAAGAGAACTTTTTGTAATTTTTTATTATACTGTCTTGAGAAAGATATTTTGAAATATTGAAAGTACTTGCATATATTTTTATCAAACAAACAAATCTAATGCCAAAAGACAGTATAATTTCTTCCTTGTAAAGGGAACTAAATATGAATAAGAATGCTTGTTTTATTCTGATTTAGTTCCAGGTAATTAAGATTTAACTGCTTATCAAATATTTCAAGTAGCTTTCTCCAGTTTGATGATATCTATATATGTTATTGATGTTTGTGTGTTTTGTATAGGCATTAAATGTACACAGCAATGAAACATTATAACTTATCTAATATATGTTGCAAGCTGATTTTCATTAATGAGATAAAAATATGAATAAGAATGCTTGTTTTATTCTGATTTAGTTCCAGGTAATTAAGATTTAACTGCTTATCAAATATTTCAAGTAGCTTTCTCCAGTTTGATGATATCTATATATGTTATTGATGTTTGTGTGTTTTGTATAGGCATTAAATGTACACAGCAATGAAACATTATAACTTATCTAATATATGTTGCAAGCTGATTTTCATTAATGAGATAAAAACTACAAGAGATGCCACTTATTAAAAATAAAAGAAAGAAAATCTAAAAACTGTCTATTGGTGTTACTGGTAAGTATATTTAATTAATGAGTACTTTTGACAGTATCCATCCAACATATCACCTGAAGATGATGATGTATACTGTCAAAAGTACTTATTAAATGTATTTACCAGTTATGCCAATAGACAGTTTTTAGATTTTCTTTCTTTTAGGCTTTTCATTAGCAAAGCACACAAATAATTTGTGTGTGTGTTTAAGTGTAAATATGAATTAATAGTGAGAATTGAATACACTCTGTAAAGGAGGCAACTTGTATAATACTAATCATATAGAAAATAATGTTCCATCAAATCCAATAAAATTTGCTGTGATTCTATCAATATAAATGCCTCAAAAGTGAAAGCACAATGCCACAAAGAAATGTACATAACCACCTGCAAATTGCAGGACTGGTAGATGTGACAAAGTTATGGAAATGATTAACTTTGCATATACATTGGGTCATATAATACCCAGTTTCAGTCTATAAAAACCAGCAGCCAACTCGGGTCAAAAATGCTATCAGTGACAGTTCATGGCAGCTAAACTTTCGAAGAAGCATAGAAAATGCCTCAGAGGTAACAGTGAACTGAATACTACTAGTTAATGACTGAGGAATGAGACTGTATCCTAAAGCTGCACCTTGGATTGTCATGCCCAATATATATGCATGCAGATGCCATGTATGTGGGCATGACATGCATACCACTCAGAGAGGTGTGACATGATGGATGCAGGAACACCTGTGATCACACCAAAGAGGGAGTGGATTACATGGTGCATGACAGAATGCACAGACTGGCAGATTTGCCACAGCATGACATCCAAAACCGCCTGTCGCCATCAACAGGTACATCTGTGTCCACCTAAACCATTCACAACAGGTTCCAGGTTTCATGAAGTTGACTGCACATATGGCAACCAGCTAAGATGCCATTAACCATCTCGACACAGGGCTGCATGCCTGGCGTAGTGCCGTGTCATCATCATTGAAATTGGACCACTGAATGGCATCAGGTGTTGTTTACAAATGAATCCTGCTTCTGTCTGTAGAGGAATGACGGCTCTGGTAATATCCTAGAGTGTGCTACATGCTAACCCTCTCTGTCAAGCATCATACTGGTCCCATCACCAAGCATCATGCTCAATCAGTGGACAGCACTGGCACATATTTCTGGTACTCTGACAGGGGACCAGTATCTCATACAAATTGTGGGGCCTATTGATCGGCCACTGGTGAAGGCTGCACCCAACATGATTTTCCAGCAAGATGCCTGACAACATATCACATGGTAAACTCTCACCAGCCTGAATGGAATTTATGTTCTCCTCTAGCTAGCAGCCTCACCAGATCTCTCTCCTATCGAACACCTGTGGGACTTCATCTGATATGAGGTGTACTGGGGATCACCACCTCATACTGTAGACAACATGTATGCCATAGTGGACACAGTTTGGCAAGGAATATCTCAGGAGGTAACCATTAATTGCCTCACTGATAGTAAGCCTTGCCTTAGAGCAGCCTGTACCATGGGGCCATATTCGCTTTTGAATAAACAGGTGTCTGTTGCATATCTTTGTTTGTTCTTTTAATCATTTTGCCTTCTACATATAACAGAAGTTAGTACAGTTGACATATTTGCCCTGTAACTGCATAAAGCTCAGATCACAGTTTAGGGATGGTTTTCATTTACTGTCTTAGCTTGGGAACGACTTCTTGAAGAAAACACAAATTAAGCCAAATTCCAGTAAGAAACGTGCAAGATTTACCAATAAACAAATGTTTTCAATAGCTTTCAGCTACTGTCATCAAGTTAAGCACCAGTGTTCAAAAATAGAATGTAATATCAAACATTGATCTTTAAATGATGATAAAGTATTATCTGATAGCTGAAAGCTGATGAAAACATTTATTGATAAATATTACACTTTCTTACTGGAATTTTGGTTTAATTTGTGTTTTGTTTATAATTATTCAATTTCTGTGGTGACTTTTTGAAGGTCTTCTGCAACATAATCAGTCTCTAGGAACTAATGCCAAAGCCAATAAACTACTGATAGGCTAACATTGATCCAGTTTGTCACTTGACAAACTGGTTCAATGTTATGACTGTCCTGCTTTGATGATTGCTCTCCACCTTAAACTGTTGGGTAAATGTTGATATTCCATTTGAAACTCTAAACTCACATCAAAAATATAAAAATCTTATGCAGTGCACAGAATAAACATCAGAAGTTTATTGTCCATCATAGACTGGTAAGTTATAAGTAAGATGGAAGAATGTATATACAGACAAATCATTTGCATATGGAGATGATTAATATTATAATAAAAATGCACTTCAGTCTGGAACCAACCTCTATCAAGAATCCAGGAAAACTATGAAATTTCTTTTAATTTGCAAGACAGTGAGTGTTATAACTGAGTACTCAATTTGGAAACTCATGTCACTGGATATTATTGATATTAAAATTATCATCTCCAAAATTTTTAGAATTTATATATTATTATTATTATGTTGTAAATGCCACATTCAGCTGATACTGGTCACAAGTGCTACACGACACTAAAGTCAAGGTATATTTAACCAAACAAGTAAAACATTAACCTCTGTGTTAATGGTGTATGTGACCACATCTAGCAACTTCCTAACAATGTGACATGTTCAATATTGCAGCTTTCTGTAGTGCCATGTATATGTTTTTATCAAGGTTTATGTTGTTTATGGGTTATATAAGGTATATGTTTTTATTAAGGTTTAATGTTTCTAGACTTTTATGTAGTGCAGCGCTGTCCAACTTATAGCCCGCGGGCCATATTTTCTTCACCAAACATTTCGGGGGCCAAGAAGGTTGCTGCTGTATTCAGCCAGGTTAAGTGAAGTTACGCAAACTAAATAGTACTTACTTTAAATTCAAATTAGATTTAAATTTTCACATAGTAAAATAATTTTAATATTAATAATAATAATTTAGTAACATAAATTTATTCATAGTAAAATGTACTCGGGGGCCGTAAAAATTATTTGGCGGGCCGTATACGGCCCGCGGGCCGCCAGTTGGACAGCCCTGATGTAGTGTATGTGGTGTGACACCAGTGGAAGACAGGACTCTATCCATCTTCCACAGGCCTCATCTCTTGGGCAAGTGTCATGTACTTGTTGATTTTTTCAGCGTGAACATTTTTCATGTTATGAGTGTTTGGAATGGATATGTCTATTATATAAGTGATCATATTGCATTTTTCAATAAAAGTGATGTGAGCTCTATTGTGATGAATTGTTTTATCTGTGATTATGGCTCTGTCATGGTGTGTATATATATATTGTATCTGTCATTATCTAATACTGATTATGAAGTAAATTTGTAGTATGGTGCCTGGGTTTTGTTTAATAATCTGTGTGCAAAGCTCTTGGTGTATTATATTTTCTGTGTGATTATATGTCTATGTAAACAATTTACTGATGCTACCAGAGGTTATATGATGTATTGTTTTATCATCATCATTATTATTTTTATTAGATAAATAAAATAAAAATGAAACAATCCAATAAAAATAATTTGTTTTTAGTAGTCATTTTGTATTTTCAACACTTAGGTAAAGCTTTGGTGTCTCCCAAAACTTTCTAATATCTAAAAAGTTTAGATCTTTCTCAGTATTCTGGTTTTCTTTTTCATTTTCCTTATTTAAAATTACATATGCAACCAACTACCAACAGAAGTGAAACAAAAAAACATTTTAATGTTTGAGATACTATCTTCTGAACTGCATGCTGGTGATGCCATGCTTTCAACATTGAGATGCATAATTTATGATGGAGCAGATTTTATTTCCATTATAGCAATTTTCTATGAAATGTATACCAATGCAAGTTCTTTGCATGATCTTATGGTAGTATAATATATAAAAAAAACGTGAATCACATGAACCAATTAACCGTTGTGAATATGATTAACTATTTGAGTGATGAATGTTTTCGTAACCTCTTCTGGGCTCTTTTTCAGGCTTCTTTTTTTTTTATTTCAAAACCTTTTGAATTTTGAAATAAGGTTTAGAAATAAAAAAGAAGCCCAATTTCAAAATTCAAAAGGTTTTGAAATAAAAAAAAAAAAGCCTGAAAAAGAGCCCAGAAGGGGTTACAAAGACATTCATCACTCAAATAGCTAATCGTATTCACAATGGTTAATTGGTTCATGTGAGTCACATTTTTTATATATTCATACCAGTGTGTTGTGCAGTTAAGTAGTATAATATTAATATGTAAAATAAATAAATATAGTAATACTCACTTGAAGAAACAGAAGAATTTTCTGCACTTCCTCCTTTTGATACTGCATTTGTAACAGCACCAGAATCAATTACAGATTTATATTTTGTACAATTCTTTGGAACTGCTTCTAAACATTTTTCATGGCAATTATAACCACAATCCATACATCTCATACCTAAAAGAAAGAATTTCCATTTTTTTTAAAACTTTTTATTAACTTATAAACCTTTTACAATACAAAATATAATTATGTGCAATAAAAATCTTATTTTTATAAGATTTATAAAAATATTTAACTATTATGATGTTTATTATGTGAACTATTATTCAAATGATGTTTTTAACAAATAAAAAAAAAGTATTATTATTATTTTAATATAAGAAGTATAAAAATGTTGATAACCCAAAAATGATATTTATATTAGTTGAAGACAATAAATAAACATGCATAAGATGGTAAAATTGCTAGGAAACCAATTTAGTCTAAACTCACTTCATCACCAGATTAAATTTTTATAAAACGTTTTTCAAGACTCAACTTGTCTCATCATATATCAAAAATAATCTAAATTTAAACTCAGTTTTTAGCATCTTACATACATTTGCAGAAATCAAATGTGATAAGAATATGATATAATTAAACATTAATGTTACCTGTCTTTACAAGGCCCCATAAAATATGTGAACAATAATCACAATACGTTGGAGTAGTGTAATTATATTTTTCAAAACGATGAGGATGAGAATATACTTGAGGCTGAGTACCTTCACCTATCATTTTACCTCTGACCAAAATTTCTATAGTAGAACGTTTATGAATTGAGCGTCCATGAGATCGAATCATTTGTGTAGTAAAAGAAACTTGACGCTGAAAAAGTTTATCATCATTGTTAATGTAAAAAAATATGAATAATATTTTTAAAAAATTTCTCAATTTTAAATAATTCATGAAAATTATAACTTTTCTTAAAAACAAGTATTAAAAGTGTAAGTGTATGATGACAAAATATGTTTATAATACAGTGATTTTAATTTCATATTAAATTTCATTTAAATTAAAATCAGTTACTCTATCACTGACAAGACTAGCTATATGCTACACATACATATACAGTCGACCCCCCTATAATTACGATTCTTATAAAACTGCGAAAAAATTGTGACGGTATCCGTAAAAAAAAGGTAAAAAAACTCCTATAATTATGTAAAACGTCATCGGGCAGCTGAACTACTTTCCCGCCATCCGTAGCGCCACGCTACGGAGAGATTTCTATCGTCTGGACAGTATTATATAAATTATATATAAATTAGGTACTGTACATATAATTATATATTAATTATATATAAATTAGGTACTGTATATATAATTATATATTAACTTATTGTAACTTTGTTATAATTAAATATATAATTTCCGCCGTCTAGCGTGGCGCCACGCTACGGAGATTTTTACGCTAACTATCGTCTGTCAGTATGTAAATTAGGTACCGTAAGTCTAATACAGTACTGTAATTTTATACATTTCTTGTGAAAGAAACATTTCTTATTCAACGGCGATTAAAATTATTTATATTAATGATGTCTCCGAAGTTCTACGAAGTTTTCACAGAAAAATAAGTTGTTAGAAATCGGCCGCTCTTTGCTGAGCTGTTCCGCGACGAAAACAATGTTGAGCAATGGCAATGTCGAATGGTGACACTCGGTAAGTAATCCTACAATTTTTTGTTTATAGCGTAGTTTATACGGATTATT